TGAAAAAAGAAAGAAATAAACTAACTACCCATATGGCATGGTGTCTTAGTGATTCTTGAAGTCATCTTGAATGTAATTACATGAACAATAATACTTTAAGACATAGTTTTTAATATTTTTTTTCTATAAAACATGGTTATATTTTACCATTTTGGGGGGAGCTTCAGCCCGAAAGCCCCCCCCGTAAATCCGCCTGTGAGTTGTGCTAACTTTTCTCAATTTTGTAATTAACTTAAAAAAATCACTCTCAACAGAGAAGTTATGTATGAGATTAATTAATATTAGATCTTTTCATTCATAAAAAAAAAAGTTTCCATAAAGCAATTTCAATTGTTGATGACCTTAAATCAAGATGGCATATTGTATGTATTTTTTATTATAAATGATATAATTTTCTATTTCATTATGTTTATTTATTATAAATTTAAATTATTTCATAAATAAATAAATGTATGCTTATTAATTATTATCTTTGTATAATTTTATTATTTGTATTTATATTTTCTGCTTATAGGCCTCTTATTATTGTCTAAGTGAAAGACCAATAATAATTTCAACAGAAAATGTAGAAGGATCTCAAAAAAGTAGTACTGAGTATGATAATGAGTCTCAAACAAAGGAATATCAACATGACATTAGTATAAGTTCTGAGGTACATTTTTGTATTTAACTTTATTTTGATATCAACAAACAAAGATTAAATATTTAATTAATAACCCTTCTTAAAATAATTAAAATTTCTTTACAAAGGAAGGTAACTTTAATATGATTATTCAGTATTGAGTTTCTAGTTTAATTGCAACTATGCCTGGTTTAAAGAAAAAATAAAATAAAGCTATTATCTTTGAATCGCAATATTTGCAAAAAGACAGGAGAAAAAGAGAATATGGCAAAGACAAAGAAAATGCAATTAAACTTGTCAGCTTGCCAGTATGTTAATGTGTCTATAACTCAATGTATTCCCTCTTATGAGCAGAAATACATGGTTCTTAAACTTATGTAGTATGCAGAACACCTCTTGAACAAAATTATTTTCTGTTGATCCCTCCTGACCCAGTATATTTTACATTGTTAATAACTGGTTTTATTATTAACTAGTAAAATAACAACAAATACAAGAATTTTGAACATGTAGAATTTTTGTTAAATGAGTTATTTGAATAAAACTGAAAAATTATTAGGTATAAAGTTCCAAATTAATTCATGGACCTAAGATATTCGCTTCATGTAGTCCCATAGGACCATAGACTATAGTTTAAGAACCTCTGTTCTAGCAATATGACATACAGCATGATAACTAATGTATTGGAATTATTTATTGACTGAAGATTACAGATTACATGAACATGCTCGAAATAATTTTATGAAAACTGGAATATCAAAGCAATATGCATTTTTTATTTTTGAATAAACATGAATTTCACAATAGCATTTTCAGGAGTCTGGGCCATCTCGATATAATCCTCCTTCGTTTTATCAAGATCAAGCCAAACAGAATAATGAAAGAAAAACTGTAAAACATAAGCTACAAGATACAATTATGGTTGAAGTGAGTTTTTAAAAATGTTTTAATTTATCTTTCATTGAACATAGTACAATATTTTTTCCTTTAATTTGTATGAAGATTACGTTCCTAATCCTTTGGTAATTTTTTGGGAATATAATTTTAACCAAGTCTGATCTTGGCTATGAATCCTATATTTTACATATGTATCTTTTTTTTAGTTGGTAATACAGATATAAAGATTGATAATACAGATAGATATCTTTAGCCACATGATTCGGTGTTAGTTTGGTTATAGATAAATTTATAAATCATGGGAGCAAAAATAGTTTTGAGGGTGTTATCCATTTTTACATAATGCATAATTTTCATAGCGCAATAGCAGACAACTTGTATTTTGGAAGTGTTTTCTACTGATATATGTTTTGTATAGCTTAGCAGTTAGGTTAATACAGACAGTGGCAAATTGGTTGGTGCAAATCTGCAGGTAGTGGCTCCAAATTTAATCACATTTTTTCTTATTCATTACAATTAAAAAAATTAAATGGGTTGAAAATTTATTGAAACAAACTAATGAAAAAAAATCGCTAAAATTTTTCAGGGTAGCAGCAATGATGCTTTCTTAATGAAGAGACCGAAAACCCCCCAGAAGAAAATATTTACTAAAAGAGTAAGATATCTTTAAAATTACCTTTTCTAATATAATGAAAATTCATATTGTATTCCTGATAGAAATCGTTAATAATAAAATTAATATTTTATCCAGGCAAGTACAAAATCAAGAAAGAAGCTGAATGAACCTACCAAGAAGAAAACAATACTTGACTTGGTTATTGATTCATCTTCCAATTAATTTGGAAGCGATATATATATATATCAATTTTATTAATTTAAATTAGTATATTTTTTTTATATTGATGTAACAATTAAATAATATTACTTATTGTTTATAAAACTTGGCAAACCTCAATAAATAAGACATTAAAAATAATATTAGTTATTTAATTATTGGTTGGTTGGTTGGTTGGTTGTTGTATAGTAAAGGTCTAAAACATGTTGGTCATCAACACCGTTAATGAAACTATGGGTCATTCCATACCAAATCATCGAAAAAAAGTTCAAGTTGTAATCCAACCCTCCCCCTCCCCCCTCAGATCTTAATGAAAATTTGTAAATATACATGTAAGTAAAAATACCAAATTTTAGCCAATTCTAACGATTAGTTTCAGAATTATGGGCTTTTAAACTTTTGAAGTTGGGAAGACATTTTGGCCTCAAAACCAGCATGTACCTGTTTGGTTTTCATTTGTAAAACCAATATTTATTGACCAAGAGCTTTCAAAATGTATTCATTTGTCATAAATGTAATACAGAATTTGTTATTATAAGTTTTAGCATTATAATTTTTCTTCATGTATAAAAAAAAATTTTAAATATATAAAACTACCTCTAGCTAAAATACCTATCCAAATACCCCAATACAACCATATATTAGTGAAAACAGCACAAAATTCTCTACCAAATGCAGAAATAATATTAGTGGGAAGTTGAGTTTGAAGAGTTTTATTACACTTCAAACACAATACAGTAAATTTTAATTTACCAGTTATAAATACAAGTGAAATTTGCTTAAATCTTTCTCCAAATATCCTAGTATAATAACCTATCACTGAAAAGAGCATACAATTTTCTAATAGATCATAAAATAATATTTGTGGAATTTTGAGTTATAAGAGATTTATTATAATGTAAATCAAATAAATTTTGGCGCTATGCAAAAATATTATGCTAATTGATATAGAAAAATACCTGTTGCAAAAATCTCTCTAGGAATATCCCAATACAACCATATATTAGTGAAAACCAGATAAAATTCTCTATCAAATGAAAAACTAATATAAATCCGACCAGTTTATTGTTTAATCAGTACCGTAGAAGGTATGGCATGTAGAAGTGAGAATAAGACAATCTAAAAGACATTACATTATATTCATTGAATAAAACCAATTATGTTAACTTGACCAGAGCCAGATTTGGTAAAACTATCATAAGACTAAAGGAATTATTAAAATAAATTAGGATAGTTATTAATACTCATCACTTCATGCGATTATTGGTGAAAATCACTCCAGTGTCTAATTTTAATATATTTCGATCTCTATAGTCTTGGCTTCTACCTCTTTGCCTTCTTCCTACCTTAAACACTTAAGGAGTCATTCACTCTCCAATTTAATACATACAAACATTATTTCGTTGACCTTACCGACACCAAAATATGCAGAAATTTTATTTTTTTATTAATATAATAAATTTCATTAAACTCAATGGCCCCCTCCAATGTTATTTTACCATTTGGAAAAGTGCTGCATGTTGTTTCAAGTGATATATGGTTGTATTATAGCAATTTTTTCATACTGACACCGTATAAATCTCATAAAACTCAATAGGCCACTCCATTGTTATTTTTGCATTTGGTAGAGAATTTTATGCTGTTTTCACTAATATATGGTTGTATTGTGGTATTTTGAGAGAGATTTTAGCTGGAGGTAGTTTTACATATTTTAACCACTATTTTGAAATTTTATATTCACAATTTTTTTTATATATGAAGAAAAATTATAATGCTAAAACTTATGATATCAGCAGATTCTGTATTAAATTTATGACAAATGAATAAATTTTGAAAGCTCTTGGTCGATAAATATTGGTTTTACAAACGAAAACCAAACGGGTACATGCTGATTTTGAGCCCAAAATGTCTTTCCAACTTCAAATATTTCAATAGTTTAAAAGCCCATAATTCTGAAACTAATCATTAGAATTGGCTAAAACTTGGAATTTTTAATTACATGTATGTTTACTTAATATTTACAAATTTTCATTAAGATTTGAGGGGGATGGATTACAAATTGAACTTTTTCTCGATGATTTTATATGGAATGACCCATACATATTATTATATTTTCTGGTTGTGAATAATATGAATAAAAAAAAAAAAACTTATTAAAATTTATCATATGTCGTAGAGCCATAGCAATAGCATTAATCTCAGCGATCAGGTGTGACAAAGGTGGATGTTATTGATGTGTCTGATTTAGAACCGTCGGTGAATATTACTAAGTGTTCTGGTAGAGAGCTAATTAAACTAATAGATTTTGGATTGGCGAGGAGGATGAAAAATGGAGAGTTTTATGCTATGAAGTTGATAATAATTAGATTAATTTCGGAGGTGCCGTTTTAAACATTTGTTTAATTCAAGTGATGATAAAATCCGTTAATTAGTTTTATATATTCAAGAGATGTTTTATTTTATATGATAAATCTATATTGTTATCCTACTAATAAAACATTATTTAATTTAAAACAAAAGTTATTAATTTATAAACATAATAAAAAGTGTTATCTTTTGTAATTCACTCTATAGGCTGATTTAAACATTGTTTCTTACCTTTTTGGTGAAAAACAAAAGAAAAAAATTATAATATTATGAGAGTACCTTTTGGTTTTATGTATTCTTCACATTCCTGTTCTTCTTCAATGGAAGAATCAAGTCCTGGACCATGAGAACTCAAGCAAGTGTCACTGAAACCTGAATCTGACCTCTCAGAAAAAGCTCTATTCCTGAAGTCAGCTGGCTCAGGCTTTGTGGCACCAGCTCCCCGACGGGACAGTGTAGCCATCCTGCCGAGGGCTCGGATCGCGTTTCCTGTTTTCTGTGTTAACACACCACACAAAAGCTCAGAAAAAACCATGCTTATTAATCAATTAACAGAACACCTATACATTTTAAATAAGTGCTTGTGAAATAGGTATTGGTTTATTTCGAACCATCAAAAAGCACTCTATTATCAAAAAGTAAAAATAAAAGTGGATAAAATTAACACTGGATTATTTTTCCATTCAGTTTCTTTATAATTAAAATTATACTTTGTGTTGGTTGATAGATGTACTTGCATTGTCCAAATCTATCAAATAAGAGCTAAGTAAAATTTAAATAAATTTTTGAATAATCATTAAAAATTTGAACCAGATTTTTAATGATGGAATAAATTTAAACAATTTACCAGAAGGTATCTGTTACACCATCTTTGATATTAATAAAAAGGACTATAATAAAATATTAGTAATTAATAAAATTATATATTACATTGGTATACAGGATTGTCCAGAGTGGGACTGTATTGCACATGTTACTTCCAAAATATTAGAAGAAGACATATTTTGATGAGGGTATGAATTTTCGGAGGGAACCATATTTGTGTGAAGTTCCATTTATGGAAGGATCTTTCAATCTTCAACAATTTTTCTAATTATACTTTTATTTGCATTGTTTTTAAGAAGGGGGAGCAATAAACTTTCTTGGGATGAGGTACGAGCTATTAACCTAGGGGATGGGTACCCCTTGTTTGAACACTTTTTTAGTACAATGGAATACCAACCGAAAATGATCCAAGGCTCAAAACATAAGATTTAAAATTTAAGAATTAAATGCAAGATTTACCATGGCTAAAATCTTATTTTTATTTATTTCTATGCTTCATATACAACTTTTTTTTTTAGTTTTAGAAAGCTAAAAAAATCTTATTGATTTGATGTTAATACTAAAACAACAAAATACTAGCTATTAGTAGAACAAATAAAACACATATCTTGATCAGTTGCCAAAACAGAACAATCTGTGTATTATGAGCGAAAACATACCTGCCACTTTCTTCTGATAATAAATTTCTTCAATTTATCCGTACTTATTTTCACTTGTGACATAGTGTCATCTGTTTGAGATATCCACCTATGCCTCAAGCATTCCTCAGCACTTAATCTGTCTCTTTAATGGGAAAATATAATGTATTATATTATGTTGAAATAAAATAACAGTTTAAAGAAAACTTTACTTATTTTTCAACTTAATCTATCATATATTACTTCTATTATAATCTATCTTATATATATATTTTTTAACATATTATATCATGTTGAAATAAAATACGAGTTTAAAGAAAACTTTACTAATTTTTCAACTTACTCTTTCCTTTTGACAAGAAGATCAGCAATGAAATCTTTGGCATCCTGTGATATGTTATCAAACGCTTCATCATCATAATCGTATTGGGCACGTGTAATATTTGCAAACGTTTCTGCATCGTTTTCTCCCATAAATGGTGATAATCCTGACAATCTGTAGAAAAGAAGCGATAATAATTAATATTATAAAAATCTATTAGTTCAATGAGAATAATTGTTTTACTCAATAAAGTTAAGGATGTCCATTGAAAACTTGAACAGATATCACCTTCATGATTCAAGAAATAATTTATCATATATTACATTTTTAAAAATTTATTTCATTCTAGCTATTTTTTAAAATAAAATTTCCCATAACATTTGCTGTTTTTGATCAAATTTTCATTTTTAATACTAACATCAGTAACATTATATAATAATTTTTATCACAATATAAATTAAATTAAGTTCAAACTTACAATACGTAGGCAATTACACCGACAGACCACATGTCGCTTTGGAATCCAACTGGTTCATAGTTTATAATTTCAGGTGGTATGAATTCAGGAGTTCCAAATAAAACTCTTAGTTGACTATCAGAACTTAACCTCCTCGCCAATCCAAAATCTATTAGTTTAATTACATGACAAGATCTGCTGGTGCACATTATGTTCTCCGGCTAAATATAGAAAAAAGAAAAGAAAATACCATTAAATTAAAAAGAAAATAACAATTAAAATTATATAATGCTAAATATTCCTTAGAAATATATTGCAAAACTTTCTATACCAGATATCCTAGTTGTCTACTGAATAAATTATTATTTTTTTAAGCAGAAAGACTGCTATTGTAAATATGCAGCAATATTAGCTTTAAAACTAAAAAAATTAGGAAAACTGATAGATTATCTCAGAATTGAAATAAGAAAATTATGTTTATTGTTTTATAAAAGGTTCCTGTCTCAGTTGTCTCCATCTGTGATATCTAGTATGCTGGATTCTTATTTAGTTTGCTTGGTATATCTCCTCTGGCTCTTCAGATTTAATATTTTACAAAAAAATTGTTTATTTATTGTTTCTAGATCCATTGTTTGGATAAGGAACAAAAATTCTTGGTGTGCTGTGGGCTATTATAATTAAACTTAGGAATTAACATTTCACATATTCAATATATAGTTTTTAACGTGTTTTATTTATTTTTTTAATTAATTTTAAAATGTTCTGAATAATAAGTACTATCACTATTATCACATTAACTGATTTCAAATTGTTATAATTTTTCAATCAAATGATAACCTATGAAAAGGAAGCTTACTTTAAGGTCTAGGTGAACAATATTTTGACTATGGATATATGCCACAGCTTCACAGATTTGCCTCATAAAGAGAATACAGTCTCTTTCTGTAAGGGTGAAATCATCATCAACAACTCTTTCAAACAGCTCACCTCCTGAAACACTTTTGAAGAACATTTATTAAACTTATTTGTAAAGATAAAAAAAAATTAAGTCTACTAGAGCATTTTAAAAATTGAGAGTAATAAATATAATTAAATTAAATCTATTGTTATTGTTTATACGTTAGGAACCTCAATATTTGAAAATGTAATAATGTTTTATTTTTTATTGTTGATTTAAGTAAAGAATATCGAATGATATTAAATTAATTTAAAAAAATGTTCTATTCAGTGATCAATTAAAGTAATCAATCCATGTAACGTTTTTTGTGAATATTTAAATAACTTACTGAATAATATTTATTTAAAATCGGGACTTTTTTGAAATGCCGTGGGACACGGGACAAATTGTTAAAAATTGGGACTTTCCCGCTAAAAGCTGGACGTCTGGTCACCTTATACTTGATGGATTTTTTTCCCCACATTTTAAACATTCATGCACAAAAGATATATCCTCTACACTCACTAGAGAATATTTATTTTTGTTTGTTACAATGGAGAGAAACTAAGGATCCTGGGGAGAGTTTTTATTAAATTCAAATTTTATAAACTCCCGTCAAATATTAAATTCAGTGCTGAGTCCCAACCTCATTCTAAATAATATGTGCAACAAAGAAATTATACAAAGATATTATGTAATTGTATAATATTCATAATATATTATTAAACAAAAATCAGAATATAAAGAATAAAACCTGGGCTCAGGGCTATGGACCAGTCTGCCTTTCCCCCTCCCCCTCTTTTGTCAAGCCTTCTATGATGACAAGTTAATCAAGATAATTAATAAGGTAGTTAAATGAACAAATGAAAAAGAAATAAAAATATGAGAAAATGGGCTTCATGCCTTGGATGGTGCGAGTGTGATATGGATTGATCGTATATTATTTTTTATAATGATTTATACACCAGGAAAAAAATAATAATGAAATATTAAATCGGAAATTAAATATTCAACAATAAAAAATCTGAGTAGACTTACTATTCCAGTATCATGACAATATCTTTAGGAAGATTATATGCTCCAAAGAGCCTAAGAAGCAGAGGGTGCCTCAGAGAGTTCATAATATCTATTTCATCAGCAACATTTTCTCTATCTTGTCGCTTTAGAGTCCTCACAAATTTAGCAGCTCTTAGTTCTCCATTTTTTACTTCGACTGCACGCTTAACCACACCATATCTTCCTTTACCGATTTCTTCAAGGATTGTATATTTATCCTCCATGCCTTCACCTGGAGCTATTGTGACCTTCTCCCATTTCTCTTCTTCACAAAAATCTGAATAGAAAAAGAAGATAAAAATGGATTAAATTTAAAGGTACAAAAAAAAAAAAAAAAAAGATCTAAGAGAATAACCTGGGAGGAAATCATGAACTTGTCAAATTACCTCCTTCTTCATTCATTGTTCTAGAAACAGTATTCCCATACAAAACACAGAATCCAAGATTCTTGATTACCAAGAAAGGTTTCTTTAAAAACAATATTTTTATATAGAAAACAATTAAACATTTTTTTTGTTTACAGCAATCTTAATAAGACATGATCATTCATCACATGCCTCAAAGATCCCTGAAACATTATTTAATAAAATTACGTCCATTGGTTTTAAATCTAGAAAATCCTTTTAAACCCTGACAAATCACATAATATGACAACATAACCTAATCACAAATTATACCTTAACTATCCTCCAGTTTTCTTTGATAATACATAAATTCCACAGACAGACTCATTAAACTGCCATGTTTTGCTATTTTATGGAAGAATGACATGGACACCACATATAAAGGAAAAAAATCGGCCTTAATTGAAGACTAAGAATTCTATACTCAGTTATTTAAAAAAATTCTAAACAAAAACTCGAGACAGAAATTGAACATGTGCATTAACTGACTGAAATCTATTTGGATCTACGTATCACAAATGTATGAGACAGCCATTACAAACTTTAAATTTATTAGGCAAAAATAGTCATAATAATAATAAAAGCACCCTGGTATTTTAGCAATATAATACATAACTTCTACATACACATAACTTCACTTGCCATTTGTTAACTAACAAACATGAACCCACTTCAAAAGATTCCTTGGCAATTTACAAGAACATCGTAACACACTACATTGCCACGATACTCTTGTCAGGTAATGCCCATTGAAGACTAAAGAGGAACTGAATGAGATACCTTTTAAAATTAACACCAATCTAACCATAGGAGATGCCAGATACTGCTTTATAAACCTCTGCTTTCTGTCATTTTCCCTTATTTCATGCACATAATTCACTGGTTGTTAATATACCTAGTCCTTTCATAAATATTATTACGCGGAAATGTATACAGATTAATTTTTTCAAAAACTTCATTAGAAAATAAAATGTATATCTATATACTCAAGTAGTAATACTCAAGGATGTAAACAAAGTTCAACTTTTGTAATAGTATTTATGGCATAACTATGTAGTTATTAAAAGTCGTTTCTATGAATAAATATTTCCAGTTGAAAACAAAATAAATTATTAAGTATCTCAAGAACAAATGATTTTTAAAATTTTAAATTGTTAACTGACCACTTTTCATTGTTATAGAGATTTACAATGTGATTTTCATATTTCGAGAACAAAAAATAATCCAGAGGCAATTATTGTCTCCATGAGGGGCTGGACACTTAAATTACATTATTGAAAACCTATTTTTTCATCATTATGCAAATTAATATCTTTTAGTATAACTATTCGTTGAGAATAAGTACTCATTAATCATGCCAGCAATATCATAATATAAAAAAATAACACCATAAATATGTGTGAATTTTTATACAATTAATTACATCAATAAAATTAAAAATATTAAATATTTCCAGAACGCAGCATTCAATCGAATGGACAATAATAAACTTCTAAATTATAACAACTGAAATAAACAAGGATATAATATTAAAATGATTTCAACTATATTTAATTTTTGGCAAATATTTATATTTAATATCAACATAAATCTGGCTAAATAAACATAAAAATAGAAGGAGCAAATGTTAATTAATACATTTTATGTATACCTTAATCTGCTACATTAGAAGGTTATTCTTCTAATTGATTGTTGATAGGAATTTCATTAAAAGAACGTTCTGCTGGAGATGTTTTTATATTCATTCAATGTTATGTACTCATTGGATAAAATTATTTGTTTAGAAATAAATCTATCTTACAGAGTTATAATGTAGATAAGTTTTCTTATCAATAATTTAATAATTTATTAATTACCGATATGCGTGACTGTGAGTTGATGTGATGGAGGTCCCGGGTCACTTGGACCATGGGCATTGTGAGATCGAACCCTAAAACTATAGCTGGTTCCAGGAGAAAGACCTTTGACAGTTTGAGACAACCTATCACAACTGTAATAAAGAAAGTACAACATCAATAAATTGTAATAATGATAGTTATTTAAAAAAAATAAATAAAATGAATAACATAATAATACCAATGTGCCACAGTGGTCCATAGTGTGTTATCTTCAGATAATTCAACGGTATACCCAGTGATCATGGCACCTCCATCGTAATGTGGGCTCGACCAAGCAACAGTTACTCCACCACTGTGGGCCGTTGTGACACTAGGTCGACCTGCTGGTGGATCTGGAGCACCTAATAATAATAAACAATTCTCATTATAATAAAGCTAAACAAAAACACATATAATAGTTGTTTTATTAACTCTGATATAAATTTGTTTCAATACCTAATATAAAGAAACAAATCTGGTGCTGTGTGCGCATCAAACAACTTTCACTTACCACCCTCTTCTTAGCAGAAATCAGTATTTTCAGACAAAGGAGAAGTGAATGTAAAAATTATAGATGCTATAATTATTTATATTTCATTGTGAGTATTTATATTTGTATAATTACCCTTATATATACAAATTTTAATATTTTTATCGGTGTAATCTATACAATTAAATATTAAATAATACCAACAATAGCATTAATGAAAACCACATATGTATATTTATATAATATTGTCGGAGTCCATATTATATTAAGCTCATGTTGTATGGAAGCCTGTTATAATCTTTCGGTCGAGCTCGGCTGTGATCAATTACAGCTATTCTCCGTTACGGTTTTTTATTTCTCCTTCAGTTAATTATCAAACTATTTCATATTTTATATTTAGCTATATTTTACATTAAAGATTAATGTGAAATAGTCAATTAATTAAAATAAAACAAATTAAAGGTACTTTAGACGAAGATAATATTGAAAATTAGCCAATTAAGCTCTGTTAGAGAACATCAATCAGAATATAAACTACATTTTATTTAAAACTGCTTGATTTTACACTGATATAATGAATTTAATCAAAATCGTTAGAGGTGTTTCCAAGAAAGTTGTAAAAATGTATTTAGACCATGATATGAAGTACCACATCCGGTCAGTCGATTTTGCCGAAAAATGTTTCATATATAGGTAAGTGAATACAATATAATATAAATGATATCTTGACGCCAATGATAAAATTGAAGAAAGAAACCATCTAAGAAAACTTTTTAAAATTATCAAACTAAATTCGATTAAAATTCTACGATCTAAAAATGCAGGAATATCAAAGTCATAAAATGTTGGTAGCAAAAAATATTGTCATAAAAAAAAATGAAATTTTTACAAAACATTTTGAAATGATACTAATTGGCCATTTATATCGATAATTTGAATATTCGCCCTTGTTCATAAGTCATGAAAAGAAAAACTTAAAGTCATAATTGAGTTAACTATTTTCATTTTTAGAAACCGCATTGATCCATTTGAAAATAAATACTAATGAGATTATAAAAAGGTTGGAATTAGCCGTTTTTGTTTTGCCTAACTAAAATAAACTCATTTTCATAACATATTGAAAATTGTTTTTTTTTTACAATTAGGTCAACAAGGCTTTGCTGGAAGATGTAGTGTATCAGAAACTTACAAAAAAAAAACAAAACGAAATAAATATAAAAATATATTGTGAGGGTCTTAGAAATTCAGCGCCCCAGGTCATCCTATCCTAGGTCATCCAGTCATCCTACCCTAAAAAAAATAATTTATTTCTTAAACCGTTTTATATAATGTAATATCTGAATTTTATTTCATTCAATATTCCTCTTATAAAGTTGCTTTTATGATAGGTCAGAATTAATTATTTGAACACGCTTTGTATTTTTTTTATTTCTAACAAGTGGCGACCACCCCTTAAGATAGGCCTCGCCCCAACAGGCGTCTCTCCAGTTCGGTGCACCCGTTGCCTCGTAATTATCCGGAGGTCTTACTGTAGCAATATGGTAAATTAAATAAAATAATAAAACTTTTAGTGGGTGATGCAATTTCTATGTGCCCGCGACCGCGACTAAATTAAAAATAATCGCTTGAATTATAAGCGATGAACACAAATTTATATGTTGGTGGGTCCACGGATGTATTAGTAACTTCTACATGAAATTCCCTTTCGTTTAATTCTTCATTCTTCAAAATCTATCGCATTCGAGAGCCGGAAAAAGATATTAGTACTACATTAAATGAGGAAAAATTAAATAATTGCCTCATCTTGTAAGAAATCGATCATACTAGTTGTATTAATGGAATTAATTAATCGATCTGTGCCAACAACACTTTTTAAATAGTTGGAGATAGATAATCGATTATTATAATTTCTCCTAAGAATATAATATTTCTTATAAATTCATTATCACTCTGATAATTCCCCCAAAACTACCTCTGGATCTCCTTCTAGATAAAGAAGCTTCGCTTTAATTTTCTACATGTATTTGTTTCGACATATGCCTACATCAATTTAAACATAACCTGGATCGATATTAAGCCATCAGCACAATCTATTTATAACAACCGGAAAGTATCTAAGAGGCACAGCAAATCACTTGCGGACGGAATGGTTCTTGAAGAACCGGCTTGCTCTATTCAGTACATCCCGCAGCGGTGGACCGACAAACACTGAATTATTTAAGCCTTCGCTGCCATGTGTTAAATATGGAACAGTTCTAAATTAGTCATTATCATATAATTGCTTGTACAATTTATATTCCATCAAAGGTAGGGAATTTATCGTACCTCCTGGTTACACCGCTCGACCACTTAGCTACATAACTTTGAAGTGAGCTGTTTTTCATTACCTGCAATAGCTTATTACAAATGAGAAAGCAATGAATATTTTTATATATATCACATCTGAATAGTTTTGTAAGGGAAAAGTATCTCATTTCTATGTTTAGATAGCGAACAATAATTATTTCTGATTTATTCTATCTGATAATATTACTTTGATGTTAAAGAATCAGCGGATCAGTACTTTACGTAACAGTGAAAACCTCTCCTAAAATAGACAGCAGTACATAAATAGGGCTAGGAATGACGTGGCAAATGCAACCGCCTTGTACAACTGTATTAATACCACAAGATTAATATATTGATACATTTTGTGGTTACTATAATTAAATGAAATCGGAGTTTAATTTTAATCAGAATTGCAACAACAATAATAATCTAATTAACTGATACAGATTCAGTTGTAAACATACAAAATATGAATCTTGTCCATTTTTTTAAATTAAAAAAAAAAAAACTAAAAACAAATATAAAATAGTAATTTACACGAATACCAATATATTACAAAGGTGGTGGAGTAAAAATATTCAGTGGCGTAGCGGGACGAAACCTAGGCCGCCTCTTAAAAGCTGACGCCAAAATGCCAGAATTTTAAATAAATTAAACAATAATAATAATTATTTAATATTTTTTAAAACAAATCTGTCAATGAATATTTCAAGAACGAGCAAATTATAGAAAGTTAGTAGAGGAGAAGGAGAGAGGAAATCTTGAAGATTGCTTCGATTGCCAATTAATTTAGCTAAGCTACTCAAAGTATTTGATTCAAGTAAATAAAAATTACCTCATTGATAGATTAGCAGCTGATAGTGCTTAGACTTAAAAATTAATTGAAGGATCAAGTGCATAAAGAAGATAAGAACATACATGGTTAATCATGATTATTTATTATATATATATATCGTCTTAATTGGTATATTTTAATTATTAAGATTTAATTTTTTCTTTAATTATGATTGAATAGATACAGGTTATTTATATATTTTTTTTCAAATTTCCCTAATCAAATATAAACTTTATAACAGTAAATGTTGTAAAAAAAAAAGTGTAGATGATAAAGTTTATTTGATCTTCAAGCTCCGATAATAAAATGGTAGTAGTATTTAAAATTTTAAGCTTATTTATTATTATTTTTAAAAATGAGAGTTTGCCAGTCGGATCATTCTACCAGTAAAAATGGAGGCTGATATAATGAATATCAGGCCAGTATTTTGAGAATCGAAACAGAAAATTCACTGCGAAAAATGTATGAATCGTTTTTATTTTTTACTTTCCTACCTGTACTAGGTAAGGAAAGTATTGCAATCGGGTCAAATTTCCGATATGCGGTTTTCGACGGATCTATACGTTTCAGAGCCCCTCGAGTCCGAAAAATACATTTTTAGCCATTGGTCTTATTTTAAACTTCTCATATAAAGCATGCTGTGCATATTAATTTATAATTTTAGCTTAACATAATCATAATTGACTTACTTATCAAACACAAAAACAACAGAATATTTAGAAGAAATAAAATAAATAGATAAGAAATAAATTATTATTTGTGATGACAAATGATAAATTTTCATAATAAAAAAATAATAACTTATAATTACTCTCTAAGTATATGGTAAAATTTATAATAAAACTTTTGAAAGGTAATTAAATTTCCAACAAAACTAAAAAAAATCATCGGAATCGAACCAGTATTAGCGATGATACAGCTTATTCTATTTTTTACACATGTTTTAACTTATTACTTTCCTACTTATACTAGGTAAGGAAAATATTGCAATCGGGTCAAATTTCCGATATGCAGTTTTCGACAGATCTATACCTTTCAGAGCAACCTGAGTTCGAAAAACACATTTTTAGCAATTCATTGGACAACTATTAACGAAGTTACAGTTATTCAATTTGCAATGTAAGATTACGGTTTCATATCCTGGTGTCAGAAATGGGTGAATGAGAGAATAAAGATGACTAAATGAAAGTAAGAAAATCTGTTGCCCGCATCACACAATATTCACTATTTCCTCTACTTTTAACAGAATTTATTGTTTGACAATACTAAGCTATGGCAAACTTTTTTTGATCAGCAATATTAGTGAGTATTGAATTTTTTACACTGATCTACCTTAAGCCGGTTTACATTGCTTTAGTTTATCAAATAAATCGGGCTCAAATCTTTTCTTTGTTCAATTTTCAGGAAAATAAATCGAGTTCAATTCATTTTTTGTTTCTTCATGAACATAAGTAAATATATAAAAACTTTTCTGAAATAGGTAGGAAAGTCGTGTGAGTGGACACACCAGATATTTTAAACTTGTATATATGGTTTTAGACATGTAAAAAACAAAATTGCTTACACGGGTCGCCAAGCGAAAAATATCAGTACATCGAAGGGAAAAATGTATTCTTCAAGAAATTAAAGAACGTTTAATTTTGTGCTGAATGAGCACTTAAATTTAATAATTTGGTTAAGTGGTATGGTTGATTGCCAGAGAACGATAA